TCTTTTCCCGTATTATAAACAGTTAGAAAAATTAACTGTGTTACCTTGCCCTTATCCCCTCCCTTTCTTTACACTTTGCCTGCCCCCTACAATCTAAAATACTAGTTAAAGTGAAGGCAGGACCTACCAGTAAGCTGTCAGCTAAGTCTCCATAATCTTCTACCTCTATCACTCTACCATCCACTGAAAAACAACAACAGGGGTACGTTACACACTTGTAGTAAGGCAGGAGGAGTAGATGCCACAATCCTTATCATCCGATTACAATTCTGGGTAGCCTTACAGATATAACGTCTACCCACGTCTACAGATATTCTAAGCTCACCTCAAGACAGAGCAGAATTAAACCATTCTAAAAACACACTTATAGAGAATTATTTATTGAAGCAGTAAATATCGATGTTCTGAACATGAAAAATTCTAGTAGTTTTACCCACGTCTACAGATATTCTAAGCTCACCTCAACACAGCGCAGAATTAAACCATTCTAAAAACTCACTTAAAGGGGAATCATTTATTGAAGCAGTGAATATCGATGTTCTGAACGTGATCAAATATAACATGATAATGTAAGACACAAACTAAACCTACCTGTACTCGTTTTAAATACGCCTTTAATTCTGTTGCTGAACTTTGAAACAGCTGCCAACGTGTCACTAGCTTTCTTCATTGTCCTAAGATAATAATATTAATTATTTACTAATATATTTATATATTAATTATTATAATAAACAATATGAATGCAACAATATCAAACAACACAAACCATTACTAAAGATACTGTGGATATATTTTGTCCGACTTATTTATCATACAGGAGAAAGATGAATTGTGATCACGACAAAATCAGACGTATATGAATATGACGCCAATTCAAGTTGCATTTACCTGCTGCCATCTGTAAACTTCGACAGGGAAGTACTGCAAAGAAACAACCATCCTAATTTGAATCACTCTCAGAAGTGCAGAAATAACTGAAGCTGAAAGCTAACGAATCAATCAATGCATTCATTTACAGCTCGCGAGATAAATACTACAAACTAATAAAAATTAGCAATGTAGACGATACAAAGAGAAATAGTACATATTGTTTACGTTCATTATCATTGTGTTGCATCTATACTTTGAAGGTCACAATGAATTTCAGCATTAACAACAGTAGCGAGGATTAAACATGGCGCCATGATGATGTATGTAGCAAGTGCAGTTAATTCATTCTGATATGCCAAGAATCCTACATCATTGGGAATGCTGCAGTTAGAAACACCGAGTATATTTACCCACTGATATGAGGGTATAGTATAGTATGCGACTATAGTATACTAAAGTATACTATAGTTTAGTATAGTATAGTATAGTATAGTATAGTATAGTGTAGTGTAGTGTAGTGTAGTGTAGTGTAGTGTAGTGTAGTGTAGTGTAGTGTTGTAGTATGCAGCATAGTATGCATAGTATAGTATAGTATAGCATGCATAGCATGCATGGCATGCCATGGCATGCTGGCATGGCATGGCATGGCATGGCATGCATGGCATGGCATGAGCATAGCATGGCATGCGATAGCATAGCAATAGCATAGCATAGCATGCATAGCATAGCAATATATAGTATGAGTATAGTATACTATGGTATAGCATAGCATAGCATAGCATAGCATAGCATAGCATAGCATAGCATAGCATAGCATAGTATAGCATGATAGCATAGTATAGTACAGTATATAGTATAGTATGGATAGCATAGCATAGCTAGATAGCATAGGCATAGCATAGCATAGCATAGCATAGCATAGCATAGCATAGCTCATAGCATAGCATAGCATAGCATGCATAGTATAGCATAGCATAGCATAGTATAGTACGTTATAGATAGTACAGTATGTATAGTATAGTATAGTATGTATAGTACAGTATATAGTATTAGTATAGTATATAATGGGAACAGTGGGAATTTGGAGGAGCAATATTTAATGGGAGTATGTGTGTGTGTGTGTGTGTGGTGTGTGTGTGTGTGTGTGTGTGTGTGTGTGTGTGTGTGTGTGTGTGTGTGTGAGTGTGTGTGTGTGTGGTGTGAGTGTGTGTGTCACTGTTGTGTGTGTGTGTGTGTGTGTGTATTACCTTGACGTACTTCTCGAGATTTTCATCTCTATTCGACTTCCACAGATCATCTTAAAATACTGGAACGGATAATAATATATAGCTCAAACAATATATCGTAAGGACACTATAGTAGCCACAACTACATCCCGCCATATAGCTCTAAAAACTCAAATAAACTACTCCAACTTACGAATGCAAGACACGTTAAATAATCTAAGCTCACAAATTACATAAGACAGCATCCAAACGTTTGGTTGAGTTGGAACCCGCAAGGAAGACGACGTGTGGGAAGAAGCAAGCCAACCTGGAGGCGAGACTCAAAGGCTGAACTGAAGAAGAAGAGCTACACCTGGAGGAAATGGAGCGAACGTGACCAACCGAGTGACATGGGGGAGTTCACAAACGACATGAATCTCCCAGGTGACTGAAGGGTCTAGGAAGAAGGGCTACACCTGGAGGGAAATGGAGCGGAAGGCAACCAACCGAGCGACATGGAGGGAGTTCACCAATGACCTGTGTATCCCAGGAGCCTGAAGGTCTAAAGAGCATCTAAAGTGAGGTTGGATACTATGTACATGAATGCTACAGCCAGAGGCAGAGAGTAGGGAATGTCACAGGTGCAGGACAGGGTAAAAAATACACGGGCGCGATGAGCGATTCGCTCTTCAAACCTCCGAAATCGCTCCGTGAGGCTCAAAATAGCTCCCATCACATTTTGACAAGAGCTATTTTTCCAACAGACTTTTGAAAAAGAGCTCCATGAAAAAAAGTAATTTGTTTCCTGGTGCAGGACATACACAGGGATGTAAGCTTACGTCGTCACCATGTTGAAACATCGGGCAGTATATGTTCTCTAAGAGATTATACGCATGCTCATATGCTTTGAACAGTGGTGGCGTCGTACGCAGCTTCACCACGTCCTCGGTGCTGCCATCTAGGACTGAAACAACGAGTTAATCTCAATTACTGATCTGATAACAAACGATCCATGTATCTTATGATCGATAATATATATATAAGATCGATAATATATCGCTATAATATCGATATATATCGATAAGATAATATCTATTATGGCATCTTATATGACGACTACTGATCCATGATAGCATCTCTTACACAATTGTTAACGAACTGCACGATTCTCTCAGGATTTATGGTCATTAGAAACACTGATCCAAACTCTCATGCAAATTGAGAACAGTATCTATACATACATGAGCAGAGTTTTATATCTAGGGGGTCCAGAGGGCAGAATGCCCCCAGCCCCACCATCTTCCTTTCCATTTATGACAACAGGCGTACTGTTCTCCGTAGGTCACAATAAACCATCTCAGTTAGGACAGAGCAAAACAGTTACAAACATAAAATATCGTGTTAAGAACAATCGATCAGATTACAACCATATTTCTCAAAACTCATCTCTGAGGGGATCTCCCTCAACCCCTCTCAGTTCCTCCCTCGCTCTGAATTCATCGAACCCTTCCCGGGGTTCAGCCGTGCCGGAACTTACTTTCTTTGAGATCCCTGACTGTGTTAGGATCGAAGCTGATACGATCGGGAGCGTTCTCCGCACAGTAGGTGTTGAAGATGTTCTTCGCTTCCTTGAACAGCAAACCCATGTCGTCGTTCGTCAAATCGGGGTTCAGTATGTTCTTGTTGAAGTCGTCTAGCGGAAAAAAAAAAAAACACGAACGCAAGAAATAATGAGATGTTGTCTCGAGGACAGAGGAAAAAGTGACATTTATTCGAGATTCTTTTTCCAGAATATTTTCTTTCTACGTCACCATTGTATACAATAAACCAGGAAAAACTGATCAGCTGACACAATGTCAAGTGTGCCAGACAATGTCAAGTGTGACAGACAATGTCAAGTGTGCCAGACAATGTCAAGTGTGACAGACAATGTCAAGTGTGACAGACAATGTCAAGTGTGCCAGCCAATGTCAAGTGTGACAGACAATGTCAAGTGTGACAGACAATGTCAAGTGTGCCAGACAATGTCAAGTGTGCCAGACAATGTCAAGTGTGCCAGACAATGTCAAGTGTCCCAGCCAATGTCAAGTGTACCAGACAATGTCAAGTATACCAGACAATGTCATGTGTACAAGCACACTAGAATACCATCATCACACTTATACATGAAATTCAACAGTTGAACATATCATTACAGTTATTAATGCATTATATGCATTATACGTCTTACATGCCAGCCCCAAGCATACAAAACAAGAGTGCATCATGAATTTTATAATCAACTAGATAGTAAAGTAATCATTTCAACATCCCCTACTGCGTCCATTCATTTATTGGATTATCAGTCTATTGTGAACCGGTCTGGTTACTACTAGAGACTCAGAGGTGTACCACACTCTCTCAGCAAGGACGAAACAATTTCCTAGACATGAAACGCACCAAACAGCACTAGCATTGAGAATAACATAAATTATTTATCGACCTATATGTTAGAAGAAAACGAACGTTTAGATATTTACAGCAATGCTGAATTATTTAAAAAAATGTACGCTAAAAACTTAATAAAATTGCTTTTCCTAAATGAAATTACTCATTTTGATATGAGACATGGTTGCACTAGATTGACTTTGACGAATAAAAGTCACCACAGTATACAACCAAGACACGAAACGTAATTTACATTAAAAAGACTCGAAGGTGAATGAGATTCGACCGTGACCATTTACGGTCCGTTTATATCTTCGCTACGAACGTTCTTCAAGGCCAGCTGAAAGTTAACCAAAGACTTGGCATAAACAGACAGGCGCAGACGGGTGTATACATAACAACCCGGTGTCGCCACACGTTAGTTTCAAGTAACGGGATAAACAGTGCAGCTGTGTAGCTATGCCTGCCTGCGGGTGCAGCTACACAGAGGGAGACCGCCCGAAAGATTAACTTTTGCTCTATAGACTCGCAGTACAACCTCCGTTTAAAATACGGCCAGAGACAGCGTGGCAACGTTCCCACGATAGGTAGGCAGCATGGCCAGGCGCACTGCGTTACACACAGAGCCGCTGGATACAGAGCTGCTCAATAGGGGTTCAAGAATTCGCCCCCCCCCCTCGAGATCACGCGAGCGTGAATTAAAACCAGACTCGCACTTAGAGAGAGAGAGAGAGGGAGAGAGAGAGCGAGAGAGCAACAACAACTTAGTATAGGGGGGCACGGGCGCGGATGACTCAACGCTTGCTGTATGGCATTTGTGAGAGGGGAACGTCAGAGCTGCCTGCGTCAGCGTGACTGTACGCGACACATTGACAACCTGACAGTGTGACACACTTCCTGGGACATCACCAGACCGCGTTTCCTTCCCCGGCTCGCGTTTCGCAATCGCGCAAAAGAATCCGGTGATAAATACGAGAACGCGCTTGCACTGTGCGAGCTACGGGTGCAATGTGCCCCGCGTCACGTACGTCAACGCAGTAAGAAGAAGACAACATGGAAATTAGCAGTGAATTGGTGAGTTATCCGTCAGCCCGTGCCTTACTGGTTCATTGCTGCGTTAGAACCTCGGACTGAGCTTACGGGATATATCAGATGGGTTTATTTGATGGGTTACATTAGGGTTGGTGGTGAGGATTAGTTGGTGATTAGGGTTAGAGTTGGTGGTTAGGGTTCGTGTTGGTGGTTAGGGTTAGAGTTGGTGGTTAGGGTTCGTGTTGGTGGTTAGGGTTAGTGGTTAGGGTTAGTGTTAGTGGTTAGAGTTAGTGTTGGTGGTTAGGGTTAGTGTTGGTGGGTGGTTAAGGGTTAGTGTTAGTGGTTTAGAGTTAGTGTTGGTGTTAGGGTTAGTGTTGGTGGGTG